CTGTACATTAAAAGCAGGACAAATCCAACCAGGTCAATTACTACCCCATCAGTCTACTCTTGATCAGAAAAGTTGTGGAAAGTGTCATTAACAGCGCTATCAAGCAACTCCTCAGCAATAACCTGCTCAGTGACGCCCAGTTTGGATTCCACCAGGGCCACTCAGCTCCTGATCTCATTACGGCCTTGGTTCAAACATGGACAAAAAAGCTGAATTCCAGAGGTGAAGGGACAGCCCTTGACATCAAGGCTGCAATAAACCCAATGTGGCATCAAGGAGTCCTAGCAATACTGGTATCAGCGTATATTGGAAACAAACTCTCCACTGGTTGGAGTCATACCTGACACATAGGAAGATGGTTCTGGTTGTTGGAGGTCAGTCACCGCAGCTCCAAGACATATCTGCAGGAGTTCCTTAGGGTAGTGTCCTCGGCCCAACCACCTTCAGCTGCTTCATCAATAACCTTCCCTCAGGTCAGAAGATCAGAAGTGGGGACGCTCACTTGCCTGGATGGGTGCAGGTTCAACAACACTGAAGAAGCTTGAGACCAGCCACCACTGACACTCAGCAGCAGCAGTCTGTACTATCTACAAGGTGCGTTGCAGAAATTCACCAATGATCCCTAATCAGCAACTGCCAAACCCAGGACCACTTCCATCTAAAAGAACAAGGGCAGCAGGTACATGGGAACACTACTCCCTGCAAGTTCCCCTCCAAGCCATTCACCATCCTGACTTGGAAATATACTACCGTTCCTTCAGCGTCGCTGGGTGAAAATCCTGGAAGATCCCCCCAAGGGCATTGTGGGTCAACTTACAGCACAGGTCTGCAGCAGTTCAAGAAAGCAGCTCACCACCACCTTCTAACGTGGCAACTAGGGACGGGCAATAAAAGTTGGCCCAGACAGTGACACCCATATCCCATGAGTGACTAAAAACCTGCCACCATAAATGTTCTCTTCTCCATCCGCTTTAAATACTCAGAGGGACATGCTGCTCCACTCCTCTGTTACTTCAACACCTTATGCCCTTCCCTGCAGAGGGAGAGGGTGTAACTCCTGACCCTTTACCCCATCCCCATCCCCCAGCCCCCCATCCATCCTCACCATTTGAGGTCCCAATCTCTGCTACCTGGTGAAGTAGCTACCATTGTAAACCAACTTGACAAAATTTTCTGAAGAATGGTCCAGACCTGAGACGTCAGCTTCCCTGCTCCTCTGATGCCGTCTGGCCTGCTGTGTTCATCCAGCTCTACACCTTGTTATCTATGATAAAATTGAAAGTGTCTTTGACTTTCTGCTCACTGTGTAGATTTTTCTGACACTGACAAGTCTGCACTCAGTGTCTACTTTATGAAACATATCTGTTCAGCCTGACAGTGTCATCCCAAGATTCCCATCAGCATTTCAACTCAATGCCTTGCTCTCAGACAGTCATCTGTGTTCTCAGCTTCCAAATATGTTCCAAAAGTAACCCCCTCCCCCCACTTCAAAGGACAGAACATTGGTTTTCCTCTTGCTCATTAACAGACCCCTAAACTCAACACTGAGTTCAGCAATTGTCATTGTTAACCTCTGTGATATAGTAATGAGCTAGTAATCCTTAGGCCCAGGATGCTGAGGTGCAAATCCCAACACAAAAGCTGTTGGAATTTAAATGCAGTTGGGAAAGTGAAGGTAGTTTTTCTAATGCTATCGTCTGAATTTGTTGTTTTGTAAAAACCCAAACTAATATCCTCACAGAGAAGAAAATCAGCCATCCTTACCTGGTCTGGCCTACATGAGACATATCGCAAGGTGGTTGACTATTAGCCAACTTCTGAAATAACCCTAGTGAACTGTTCAGTTCAAGGAGCATTAACAGCGAGCAATCAAATGCCTACGTCTGTCTCAGGAATGAATACAGGAAAAATCAGTTCCCATTTTTTTATAGACAGAAACAGTGAGTATTTGCTGTGCTGTTTGGTTTCCAACTCTGCTGGATCTATCTTTAGGTTTTTATTTGTTTCGTTATCATCCCCCATTGCTACACCATCACCATTTTCATCATTTCATCTGTCCTGGCTTCTACCCTATCACAGAACTCTCTCCTGCTCCCTCAACTCTCAATGCTATTGTTACTCCATGCCCCTCACTCGGGAGCTGCTTCCCTATGTCCCCTGGTTCTGATGAGAAATCATCATCACCCTGAAATGCAAGCCTTGTTTTTTTCTCTCTCTTATGGACTGCCTGATCTGCTGTGTTTTCCCAATGGTTTTCACATTCCCAGGATCTGTATGAAAGACAAGTGACTGAAAGCTTGGGGAAAGATTTGGGTAGTTTAAGGAAAGTGTTAAGAAAGAAGAAAGATAGAAAGGGAGATGCACAAATTTAGGGAGGGAATTTGAGAGCTCCAGGCTGACGCAGCTGACAGCACGGCCAGCAATGGGGGAGCAATGGAAATCAGGGAATGCTGAACAAATGGATACTGGGGTACACACTGACCACCAGTGACTGGGCGTTGGGGCAGACACTGACCACCAGTCACTGGGCATTGGGGCAGACACTGACCACCAGTGACTGGCACTGGGTACACACTGACCACCAGTAACTGGGCATTGGGGCAGACACTGACCACCAGTCACTGGGCATTGGGGCAGACAGTGACCACCAGTGATTGGGCACTGGGTACACACTGACCACCCATGGGACACAGTTTGAACTGCAGACTGAAGTCAATTTTGACTTTGCTACCACCTTGTGGACTGACTCCAAACTGCATGAAGGAGCTGTCACTGGGAATGAGTATCCACCCAGTTCCCTTCCTCTGGCTCTGAACGAGCAGAAATATTTCTAAAATGGTGGAAGGAAACACTTCTGCAGTTTGTGTCCCTCTTTCAGAGTCCGAGAGGAGATTTACCAAGATGTTGCCTGGACTGGAGAGTTTTAGTTACAAAGAGAGATTGGGCAGACTGGGATTGTTTCCCATGCATCAGAGGAAATTGAGAGGGGACATGATTGACTGCATAAAGTTATAAGGGACATAGGTAAGGTAGACAGGAAGAAACATTTCCCCTTAATGGAGGGGAATAACCAGGGTCATAGACTTAAGGTAAATGGCAGAATATTTAGAGGAGATGTGAGGAAAAGCTTTTTCACCCAGAGGGTGGTAGGAATCTGGAACACACTGCCTATAAGAGTGATAGAGGTGGAAACCCCTGCAACATTTAATATATATTTAGATGTGAACTTGTGAGGCTAAGGCAGACAAGGCTATGGGCCAAGCACTGAGAAATGAAATGAGGTCCTGTGGGAGGTGCTTGTTTCTGACCAGTATGCACATGATGGACTGAAGGGCTTTTTATGTGCTGTCGATCTGTATGACTCTATTCTTCGACAAGAGGAAACGTCTTTTCAACATGTACATGTCAAGTCCCCCTAGAATCTTATATATATCAATTACATCATCTCTGCCTCTTCTAAACTCCAGATCACTTCATAGAACATAGAACATAGAACAGTACACCACAGTACACCTTCGGCCCACGATGTTGTGCCGAACTTTTACCCTAATCCTAAGGTCTATCTAACCTCCATCCCCACCTTACACTATCATCCATATGCCTATCTAGTAGCTGCTTAAATGCCCCTAATGAGGCCGACTCCATTACCCTCTCCGGCAATGCATTCCACGCCCCTACCCCTCTCTGAGTAAAGAACCTACCTCTGACGTCTCCCCTATATCTACCTCCGCTCAATTTAAAACTATGTCCCATCGTAATAGCTACCTCCACCCTAGGAAAAAGTCTCTGGCTGTCTACTCTATCTATACCTCTGATCATTTTGTACACCTCATTTTGTCACCTCTCATCCTTCGTCGATCTAAAGAGAAAAGCCCTAGCTCTCTCAACCTTTCCTCGTAAGACCTTCTCTCCATTCCAGGCAACATCCTGAAAATCTCCTCTGCACCTTTTCCAACGCCTCCACATCTTTCCTGTAATGAGGCGACCAGAACTGAACACAATACTCCAGATGTTGTCAAACCAGGCTTTTGTATAGCTGGAGCATAACTTCACAGCTCTTGAACTCGATCCCTCTATTAATGAAAGCTAACACACCATACGCCTTCTTAACGACTCTATCCACCTGGGTGGCAGCTTTCAGGGAACTGTGAACATGAACCCCAAGATCCCTCTGCTCCTCCACACTGCCAAGAATCTCTCCGTTAACCCTGTATTCTGCTTTCAAGTTTATCCTTCCAAAATGAATCTCCTCACACTTTTCAGGGTTAAACTCCATCTGCCACTTCTCAGCCCAGCTCTGCATCCTATCAATGTCCCTTTGTAACCCAGAACAGCCCTCCGCACTGTCCACAACGTGACCCACCTTCATATCGTCCGCGAACTTACTAATCCACCCTTCCACTCCTTCATCCAAATCATTTACAAAAATCACAAATAGAAGAGGACCCAGGACAGACCCTTTTGGTAAACTACAACAGCTCATCCTTCTGGCGATGCATCACCCCTTCAGCACTGACCCTCCAACAGTACAGCACTGCCTTGGAACTAACTTTCTGACAGTGCAGCACATCCTCAGCACTGACCAGTCGACACTGTGGTTCCTTCAGCACTGACCCTCCGACAGTGCAGCTCTCCCTCAGCACTGACCCTCCGACAGTGCGGCTCTCCCTCAGCACTGACCCTCCGACAGTGCGGCCCTCCCTCAGCACTGACCCTCCGACAATGCGGCCCTCCCTCAGCACTGACCCTCCGACAGTGCGGCCCTCCCTCAGTACTGACTCTCCGACAGTGCGGCACTCCCTCAGCACTGTCCCTCCGACAGTGCGGCACTCCCTCAGCACTGACCCTCTGACAGTGTGGCACTCCCTCAGCACTGACCCTCCGACAGTGCGGCCCTCCCTCAGCATTGACAGAGGTATTGAATCCATGGCAGGTACAGCTTGGACAGCATGCTCTGTTGTGTGAGTCTCCAAGTTGGCTGTATGAAATTTACAACTGAGACAGTAACACAAACCAAATTTTATTTTGAGTTCAACTGTGATGTTGCTGCTGAAATCCAGAGATTCCTGTGTGCTTCCACCCCAGCATTTATCTGAGTGTGTCGGTCCTGGGTTGGAGAGTCGGCTGGGTGATGCTGATGGAGCGGGGTCACACAATGTGGCAGGCTGCTACTAACCAGTTTGGGGGAAGGATCCAGAGCCTGAGATGGAGTGACAGAAATGGACAGGGGTTGGGGGCAGGGGGTTACATGGGGTGTGAGAGACAGGGATTACTGGAAATGGGGTTGGGAATATGGGGCCGGGGAGTTTTGGGGTGTGTGTGGGGTGATGGTGTGTTTAATGATGCAATGAGAGAGCTGCAAGACAGATTAACTGTGTGTCCGGGCTCTGGTTCACTCTGTGGGGTAGACAGAGTGTAAACAGAAAGCCCTTACCCCGTCCCGGTGAGCATTACCCTCACTGTGTTAGTGACTGACACGCCATGCTCCCTGCTCATTGTGCAGGACCTTGTGTTCACCCTGCTGCTGGAGACAATCTCTGACGGTCTGCAGGATGGTGTGCAGTCTGCGGTTCAGAGCTGTGAAGTGAGGCTCACTCAGGATCGGCTCCAGGCGGTCACTCAGCAGAGACTCCCGCATCACATCACTCAACTTGTAGTGGTCAGTGGCCAAAAGCTGCAGCCGGAGAAATGTCCCTCTGCGGATCCTGTCGGACAACATGAAAGATCAAACCTAATGCAGGACCAGCATGGAAAGCTTTACCATCACTGAGAGACCAGCCTCGCCCTGCGCCCAGGGTCACTGAGTCACTGGACTCATGGTGGGCAGACTGTGTGGGGGTGGTGGGGGGGGTGGGGGGGTCAAAGGACAGTGACTGTGTGGGGATGTCAAAGGTCAGTGACTCTGGGGGTCAAAGGGCAGTAACTGAGGGGGGTCAAAGAGGACCATGGGGAGGTCAAAGGGCAGTGACTGCAAGGGGTCAAAGGGCAGTAACAGTGCAGGGGTCAAAGGACAGTGACTGTGGAGGGTCAAAGGGCAGAGACTGTGGGAGTCATAGGGCAGTGACTGTGGAGGGTCAAAGGGCAGAGACTGTGGGGGGTCAAAGGGCAGAGACTGTGGGGGTCAAATGGCAGTAGCTTTGGCGGGGGGGTCGAAGGGCAGTAACTGCGGGGACCATGGTGCAGTGACTGCTCACTAACAGAAAAGAAAGAATGAAATAAATTGTGACCGAGCTGATCGAGGACAAATTTATTTAGAGTCTAGAATCAATGGGTTAAGGCTCTTTCTCTAAGGAGTGACTTCTTTTTAAATTCTTGAGTGGGATGTGGACATTAGTGACAAGGCCAGCTTTCATTACCCATCCCTCCTTGCCCTTGAGTGAAGCACAGACTGAGTCATAAAGAGCTTGCTCCATCTGAGCAAGACATGCAGAGTCCTGAGCAGAGCACAAGCTCCTACCTGCACTGGTTGTAACTGGGAAAGAGGGAGCTGTGCAGAGGGCAGGCATGCAGTTAGCCTTACCTGCAGCATTGTCTGAGAGGGGCCAGGATCGACGGTTCATCTTGAGAATGCCGTCCAAACCTTGAGAACAAGAAAAGAAACTGATAGATCATTTTACAGATTCACAGTCACACACCTCCCAACACAAAGTCACACATAAAAACTCAACAAGAAAAGCACAAACTGAGAAACTCATTGCACCAATTCTGTTAAGGAAACACTTGCATGAATTTTCACAATGAGATGGGGACTTGGGGGAAATGGGTGAAGCGGAAGTCATTGCTATTCTACTCAATCCAGTTAATGTGATTACTGACATCAAAACAGAAAATGCCGGAAATACTCAGGAAGTCAGGCAGCCTCTGTGGAGAGAGAAAGCGTGTGACCTTTTCAGTCGGAGAAACCTAACAGCTTCAAGTAGGAGCTGGGAGGGAGGAGGGATTTAAATTTCACTTTCTCTGCTTTGTCCATACGGAAATTCATCTGCGCGCATTCTCGTCCATTAAAAGATAATTACAAACGATGAGAGAACGGCAACAAAAGAACGTTGCTGAAAGGAAACACATCCTGTCGAAGCTTGTCATCTTGACCTCATCAGGATTCATCAGCAATTCACAGCAAATACTAAAATATAGGGAAAGAGACGACAGAATCTGAAAGGGGTCTGAGTGATATGGGTCACAGCAAGATTTCAGGCAGAAACAGATGTGAAATCCAGCAAGGCCTACCTCAGCATGGGGAGCATTTTACTCCATCATTTCTGTTTTTGCCAGGCATTGAGGTGAGTTTCTCACTCGGATGGGTAGTTACATAGAAGGCAATAGGCCCTGACAACATTCCGGCAATAGTACTGAAGACTTGTGCTCCAGAACTTGCCGCTCCCCTCGCCAAACTGTTCCAGTACAGTCACGACACTGGCATCTACCCAACAATGTGGAAAATTACCCAGGTATGTTCTGAAGACCAAATGCAGGATAAATCCAACCTGGCCAATTACAATCTGCTCTCAATCATCAGTAAAGTGATGGAAGGTGTCACTAACAGTGCTATCAAGCAGCACCTGCTCAGTAATAACCTGCTCAGTGACGCCCAGTTTGGGTTCCGCCAGGGCCACTCAGCTCCTGACCTCATTACAGCCTTGGTTCAAACATGGACAAAGTTTTGAATTCCAGTGGTGAGGTGAGAGTGACAGCCCTTGATATCAAGGCTGCATTCAACCGAGTGTGGCATCAAGGAGCCCTACCAACCTGGAATCAATGGGAATCAGGCGGAAAACTCTCTGGTGGTTGGAGTCATACCTGATACATAGGAAGATGGTTGTTGTTGGAGGTCCATCATCTCAGCGACAGGCCATCTCTGCAGGAGTTCCTCAGGGTAGTGTCCTAGGCCCAACTGTCTTCAGCTGCTTCATCAACAACCTTCCTTCCATCATAAGGTCAGAAGTGGGGATGTTTGCCGATGATTGCACAATGTTTAGCACCATTCGTGATTCCTCAGATACTGAAGCAGCCCATGTTCAAATGCAGCTTGGGCTGACAAGTGGCAAGTGACATTCGCATCATACAAATGCCAGGCTATGACCATCACCAATAAGAGACAACCGCCCCTTGACATTCAATGGTGTTCCCATCACTGAATCCCCCACTATCAACATCCTGGGGCTTACCATTGACCAGAAACTCAACTGGACTCACCACATAAACACAGTGGCTACAAGAGCAGGCCAGAAGCTGGGAATACTGCTGCGAGTAACTCACCTCCTGACTCCTCAAAGCCTGTCTACTATCTACAAGGCACAAGTCAGGAGTGTGATGGAATACTCCCCACTTGCCTGGATTGGTGCAGCCCAAACAACGCTCAAGAAACTTGACATCATCCAGGACAAAGCAACCCGCTTGATTGGCATCACATCCACAAGCATTCCCTCCCTCCACCACCGACACTCAGTAACAGCAGTGTGTACTATCTACAAGATGCACTGCAGAAATTCACCAAAGGTCCTCAGACAGCACCTTCCAACCCACAACCACTTCCATCTAGAAGGACAAGAGCAGCAGATACGTGGGAACACCACCCCCTGCAAGTTTTCCTCCAAGCCACTCACCATCCTGCTTTGGGAAAAACAATTGCCGTTCTTTCACTGTCGCTGGGTCAATATCCTGGAATTCCCTCCCTAATTGCATTGTGCAGGTGGACTGCAGCAGTTCAGGAAGGTATCTTACCACCTCCTCATCAAGGAGAAACTAGGGATAGACAATAAATGCTGACTCAGCCAGTGGTGTCCATGTCGCACGGATAAATAAAAAAAATTACTGAGCCCACTGTTTTATTGCTAAATCTTTGCTTTATTACTGGACCTTTCATTTTACGACTGAACCTTCTGTTTTATTACTGAGCCCGCTGTTTATTACTGAGAGCTGATTTTTCTTTAAACTGCCCCTAGTTACCAAGACCCATTTGTTATTTCTGAGCCCTGTGTTTTATTACATTTTTTTCACATATTTTTCCAATCAACTTGTTCAAAGGTGATATTACACACTTCAGGAGCAGCTGGGACTTGTACCCAGGCTCCCGGTCCAGGGGTAGGAAGGGCCCTGTTTTTTATTATTGAACCCTCAGTTTTATTACTGACACCTGCGTTTTGTTACATAGTCCTGCCTTTTACAACTGGCCCTGTGCTTTACACTTTTGTGTGTTGCTTTGTTTCTCATTTCAGTACATTTGGAGGTACATGGAAACCAAGTCCCTTGTGGCTTCAGTGAGGAGGTTTGACCAAGAGATGTGCAGGAGAGACACATATCAAACTCCCAACTCTGGGCTAACATCCCTGCAGCTTTGCGGGAGCTTTGAACCCTGACAGAAAGTTTAGAATGGAGCCCAACAATGGACCAAGATCTAAATATGTCACCCTTTTGACCACTACCACAATTAAATTGTATCAAATGTGTTATGTTGTAATTGTATTCCTTTGGATTCAACTGGGACAATCGAGAGGAGTTCCCAGTTTTGGGCAGTCCAGGGTTTCTTTAAATGTCACCTCAGTTTGCAGCCTGGACAGAACATTGCAGTTTTACTTCGGAGCTTCTACACTGAGGAACACTAAACCCAGAGTGAGCCACCACAGTCAAACACATGGTCCAACTTGATGGAAGATGCTACTGTGACTACGGTGTGTTTATGACTGAGCCATAGCCTTGGGGTACTGTTTGGTACAGTCTCAGACACACCCGCAATGGCATCGTCGGATCCTGGGAATATTTACTCACTCCTGGTACTCACGCTCGACCGTTGTCTAAGTGAAGGATGAAGCTCTCATTTCCAAATTTCTGGAATGTTTCGTAGTGATGTCGGTCCATGTTTCCTGCAGAAGGGAGAAAGACCAGGGAGAGCAGTCAGTCCTGATTGGGAGCGGAGTCAGCACAGAGTAAAACATGCTGCATTCAGGGATTTACTACAACAGGTACACTCCCAGCTCGGCTCATCTCACCCCTTCACAACTGGAGCCTGCACACAAGGCCTGTTTGGAACAGGCCTCTGATTGACTTAGTCATTCTTTTCTCAGTTCATTCACCAGATGTCAGTGTCACCGGCTGGACCATCTTTAACTGCCCTGGAGAACGTGATGCCGAGCTACTTTCTTGAACCACTGCAGTCAATGTGCTGAGGAGCACCCACATTTCAATAGGAAGGGCGTTCCAGGACTCAGAGACATAGGGAAACAGTGATATATTTCCAAGCTGGGATGGTGAGTGGATCAGAGGGGAACTTGCAGGTGGGTGGTGTTCCCACATATCTGCTGGTCTTGTCCTTCTAGATGAGTTGGTAAGTTTGGAAAGTGCTCTTGGAAGAGTTTGGACTGATTGCTCTTGGTATTTTACAATTTCCTGACCCTTATTGGCTGATGACCATAAGACGTAAGTAAAAGTAGGCCATTCAGCCTATCAAGTCCATTTACCATTCAACAAGATGATGGGCGATTTGATCATCATCAACCCCACTTTCCTGCCTTTTCCCCATAATCCTTGATTCCCTCATTCATTAACATCGGTCTCTCTCAGACCTGACTATGTTTAACTACCCATCCTCAACAGCCATCTGCAGTAAAGAATTCCACAGATTCCCTCCCTTCTGAGAGAATAAATCTCTCCTCATCTCTGTCTTAAATGGTGACCCCTTTAATCTGAAATTATCCCCTCTGGTCCTATTTTCTCCCACAAGGGGAAATAGCCTATCCGCATCTGTTATGCCAAGTGCCCTGAGAATCTTTTATGTTTCAATAAGGTCACTTTCTCATTTTTCTAAACCCTAATGAGTACAGGCTCAATCTAATTAACCTTTCATTACAGGATATCCCTCCATACATGGGAATAGTTGACTGAACCTTTTCAGGGCTGCCTCCAGTGCCAGTATGTCTTTCCTTAGATAAGGAACTAAAACTGTTCACTGCATTCCAGCTGTGCTCTGACTAGTGTCTTGTATAGTTTTAGTAAGACCACCTGTTTTTATACTTCATTCCCTTGAAATAAAGGGCAACATTTCACTTGCCTTTCTTACCCACTGATCTTGGATGCTAGTTCTTCGTGATTCAGCAGTGAGACCTCCCAAATCCCTCGCTGCTGTGGCTTTTTAAAGTCCCTCTACAGTACAATCTATAGTACATTCACTCCCCTCATCCAATTCATTTAAATATAACATTTAAAAACAGTGATCCCAGCAATGATCCCTGTGTTACTCCATCGGTTACAGGTTTCCATCCTGAAAAACGTCCCCCTTGATCCCAACTCTCTATTTTCTATCAGTTAGCCAATCCTCTCTCCATGCTGATGTACTATCTCCAACATGATGGCTCTTACCTTATTAAGTAGCCTTATGTGTGGTACCTCATCAAATATCTTCTGGAAATCCAAAATATTACATCTACTGGTTACCAATTTTCTATGCTGCTTGTTACTTCCTCAAAGATCAGTAATAAACCCGTCCAGCATGATTTCCCCTTGTGATGCCTTCTAAATGTTCTGCTATTATATCCCTTAAAGTAGACAGCAACACTTTTACAATGACAAATATTAAACTAAATGATCTATGTTTACTTGAATTTTGTCTCCCTCCCTTTTTTAAATAATGGTGGTTTTCCAATCCTCTGGAACTTTTCCAGCATTGAAGGACTCTTGGAAGTTTTTTGGCAGTGCATCCACTGTCTCTGTAGCTACTTCCTTTAATGTCCTATGATGCATCCCATCAGGTACAGGAGACTTAACTCCATTATTTTTCTTAGTGTTTTTCTCTAGTGATTGGTATTCTATTTATGTCCTCCCCACCTTTTGCCCTTTGCAACAATGCCTCCACTGTGAAGACTGATGTAAAGTATTTGTTGAACTCTTCTGCCATTTTATGGTTCCCCATTATTATTTCCAAACTCTTATTCAATCAGTTCAATTTGGCCTCTCACTTGCTTTTTAATTATCCAAAGAAGTTCTTAGTGTCCATTTGCACATTACTTGCTAGTTTACTCTCGTAGTTTATTCTCTCCCTATTCATTTCTTTTCAGTCATCTTCTATTGGCTTTTAAAACATTCCTAATCCTCTGGTTTACCACTAATCTGTGCACATTGTGTGTTTTTCCTTCAATTTGATACTATCCTCAACTTCCATGGTTGGTTTACCCCATGATTAGAATCCATCTTCTTCACTGGGATATATCTTTGTTGTGGGCCATGAACTATTTTCCAAAATATTTGTCATTTTTCATCAACTGTCTCCACTGCTTAACTCCTTTCCCAGTCAACCCCAGTCACCCCTGTCATAATTCCTTTGTACTTCCACTTATTTAAGTTTAGCACCACTGTTTCCGAACCAAGGGTTTCACTCTCAAACTGAATGCTAAATTCTATCATCTTATGGTCACTGTTTCCTAGGAGAACTTCTCACACTGAAACATAGAAAATAACAGCAGAAGCGGACCATTTGGCCCTTTGAACCTGCTCTGCCATTCTGTATAGTCATGGCTGGTCATCCAACTCAGTATCTTGTTCTTGCTTTCTCCCCAAACGCTTTGATCCCTTCTACCCTTATAAGTGTATCCATAACTCCTTCCTGAAAACCTCAACCATTTTCTGTGCAAGGAATTCCACAGGCTCACCACTCACAGGGTGAAGAGATTTCTCCTCACTTCAATCCTAAATGGCCTACTCTGTATCCTTCGACTGTGATCTCTGGTCCTGGACTCCTTGGTCAACAGAACATCTATCCTGCACTTACCCAATCTAGTCCTGTTAGAATTTTATAGGTTTCTAGGGGATTTCGCCCTCCCTCACCTACCATTCTTCTAAACTCCAGTGAATGTAATCCTAACCAATCCATTCTCCCATCATGTGTCAGACCTGTCATCCCAGGAATTAGTCTGGAAACCTTCCTTCCACAGCCAGAATGCTCTTCCTTAGATAAGGAGACAAAACTGTGCACAATATTCCAGGTGTTGCCTCAACAAGGTCCTGTACAAAAGACATCCTTGCTACTGTACTCAAATTTTCTCATTAAAAATAATGACATATGTGATAACATGTGTCTATAAGAGAGATTTGTTCATTGAATAGAATCCCTACGGTGTGGAAACAAGCCCTTTGGCCCAACAAGTCTACACTGACCCTTGGGGCATCACACCCAGGCCCATCCCCCTATAGCCCACCTAATCTACACATATCTGAACACTATGGGCAATTTAGCATGGCCAATCCACCCTAACCTGCACATCTTTGTACTGTGGGAAGAAACTGGAGGACCCAGAGGAAACCCATACAGACACGGGGATAATGTGCAAACTCAGTCGCCCGAGGGTGGAATTGAACCCAGGTCCCTGGAACTGTAAGGCAGCAGTGCTAACCACTGATCCACCATGCCGCTCCATCTGTCCTGTTTCTCTTACAAAGAGGTGCTATAAACCTGTCTGCGCCACGGAAAGCAGAGTAAATAACTTTGGGTTTTTTTTAAACAAGATAAAAGACGCGTGAGTGGGTGGAGTCAGACTGACACAGATTTTAGCCTTCAGTTGAAGTGGTTGGGGTTTTGGAGTTGAAGCTGCCAGATACAGCTCTGTCTGTGCTACTGCAAAAGTTTGAGCTCTTTCTCTGCTGCTTGATTTGTTCTGTCGATGTTCCTTCTCCTGGATTGGATTGGATAGCAAGTGAAGGGAAATCTGTTTTGCTGAACTTGCCTTTGCTAAAGGTGTATGTATGGAATGCTGCTATATTGGAACAGTTGATGAGTAGTAGTTAAATCATGCGTTATTTTGTTAAGTATTTTGACAGAGTTAAAGTTATGCCAATTTTTTTTTTGTTTGTATTTAAGTGTGGTATAAGAATAAAGTGAATTTTGCTTAAAGCCTAGTAGCTTGACCAATCGAATCACATCTGGAATGCTGTACCTTCTGCTTGCCTTTAAATAAGGTAAAACTTAGGCTCTAGGCTATCTGCTTGATATGTTTTGAGAGGGGTTGGCCTGGTCCATTACACATATCATTTGCCTTCTTCACTACCTGCTGAAGCTACATATTCACTTACAGTGACTGAAGAATGACAAGACCCAGGTCTCATTGCACCTGGCCCTTTCCCAAACTATTGCCATTCAGATTATATCTGCTTTCCTGTTTTTGCTACCAAAGTGAATAACCTCACATTATCTGCAGTTCACCTATTATGCATTAACCCACTCACTCAACTTGTCCATATCCCACTGAAGCATCTCTACATCCTCCTCACAGCTCACCCTCCCACCCAGCTTTGTGTCATCAGCAAATGTAAGATACTATGTTTGTTTCCCTCATCTCAACCATTAATCAATATTGTTAATAGCTGAAGTGTGAGCAGTATCCCTGCAGTACCCCACTAGTCTCTGGCTGCCGCTCAAAGAGACCAGTTTATTCCTGCTCTTTATTTCCTGTTTGCCAAACAGCTCTCTATCCATGTTAATTCTGTGCCCTTTAATTTTAAATGCTAATCTCTTCTATGGGACCTTATCGAAAGTCTTCTGAAAGTCCAAGTAAACCACATCCATTGGTTCCTCCTTGTTCACCCTACTGCTTACATCCTCAAAAAATACCAACAGATTTATCAAGCATAATTTCCCTTTTGTAAAGCCATGCTGACTGTGTCCAATCCTGCCACTATTTTCCCAGTGCTCTGCTATTAGACTTTTTATGATGAACTCCAGCATTTTCCCCACTACTGACGTGGTCTACAACTCCTTCCTTTCTCTCTACTCTACCTCCTTTTTTAAATAGTGGGATTACATTAGCTACTCTCCAATCCATAGTGACTGTTCCAGAGTCTATGGAATCCTGAAAGATGACCCCCAATATATGCATTAATTTTCAGGAATTGCCCAGGAATGTAGATTATTGGGCCCTAGGGATTAATTGGCCTTTTTAGAATGGAAACCCTACAGTGTGAAAACAGGCCATTCAGCCCAACAGGTCCACACCGACTCTCTGAAGAGCATCTCACCCTGACTCACCCCTTATCCTATTCCTGTAACCCTGCATTTCCCATGGCTAGCCCACTTAACCCACACATCCCTGGACACTATGGGCAATTTGGCATGGCCAATCCACCTAGCCTGCACATCTTTGGACTGTGGGAGGAAACTGGAGCACCCGGAGAAAACCCACACAGACACAGGGAGAATGTGCAAACTCCACACAGACAGTCACCCGAGGGTGGAATCGAGCCCGGGTCCCTGGTGCTGTAAGCCACTGTGCTGCCCATTCCTTCTTGCCTGTCCTTTTGAAAGGTCACATAACATGAATATTAACTTCCCACCATAGATCACTTTGTAACCTGACACCAGATGTGCACTTGAGATCTGAAGTCAATGTCAAGATTGCTCAGAGCCAGACTTTCCAGCTCAGATACCACTGCCCTGCATCATAGACAACCCCTCCCCTTCACAGACACCCTGTCCCCTTCGCAGACACACCTTCCCCTTTCATGGACACCCCTCCTCACACCAGACACCCAACTCCCTGCACAGACACACGTTCCCCCTCACAGACACCTCTCCCCACACCAGACACCCAACGCCCTTCACAGACACACCTTCCCCCTTACAGACACCCCTCCACACATCAGACACCCATCCCCCTTCACAGATACCACTTCCCCTTCACAGACACCCCTCCCCACAACACAGACACCCCCTCCACCTTCAGAGACACCCCCTCCCTACGTTGAACACTTGTCCCTCTTCACAGACACCCCTCCCAACATCACAGATAACCCCGCCCCCTTCACAGACAACCCCTCCCCACATCAGATGCACCTCCCACTTCAGCGACACCCACTCCCCACATCAGACACCACCTCCCCACACCACAGACACCCCTCCCCTTCACAGACACCCCTCCCCACATCACAGACACCCCCTCCCCACATCACAGACACCCCCTCCCCCTTCACGGACATCCCCTCTCCACATCACAGACACCCCCTCCCCACATCTGATACACCCCCCAGCATCAGAGACACCCACCCCCCACATCAGACACCCCCTCCCCACTTAACATACACCCCTCCCACATCGCAGACACCCTTCCCCACATGCACATACCCCCTGTCATGCTCTTACAGACCCCCTCCCGCCCTCACTGACCCACTCTTCCCCAGTTGGAGGCGCTCTCACCCGTCAGGAAGTCCAGGACGGTCATGTCGATCACGTCCAGCAGTCGGCTGCCATGTTTGTAAGGCGGTGTTTTCTGAACATGATCGCAGTAAGAGGGGTTCACCTCCCACCTGAAACAGAGAGAGAGAGAGAGAGAGCTCAGAGAGTGACCAAAAAGGGGGAGGGGAGGGGGAAAGTGAGAGATGGATGGGGGGAGAGAAAGCCAAGTGAGAAGGGAGGAGGTGTGGGAGAGAGAGAGAGACGGGGGAAAGAAACAGAGAGGGGAGTGGAGGTGGGGCAAGTGGGAAAGAGAGAAGGTGGGGAGAGAAAGGAGGGGAGAGAGGGGGACAGGGAGGGGAGAGAAAGAGATTAGGTGCAGGAGAAGGGGAGGGGACAGTGAGAGAGGAATTGAGGTGTCCTGATGGTGGAGTGAGCTGGATTGGGGCGGAGGTACTTATCAGGGTGTCTCGGGAGCTAAGGGCCTACACTCACTTGGCCTTCTTACTCTTGTGGTAGGAGCGTCTCCAGGGATTCCTCCAGGAGAGGCGTTTAGCGAGTCTCACATCAGGCAGGTAGGCAGCCATTGAGCCCTCCATCAGCTCTGGTTTTCCACACAGAGGATGTTCCATGTCACAGTAATAGGAGCACTCACCATGGAAACAAACATTGTTCGCTAAGAGAGTGAGAGAACTGTTAATGCCCACACCACCGGCAGATCTCTACAGACCTGCATTCATCCATTGTCCCCACATCCACCCTGTAATCCACATATCCCCTTAACCGTGTCCCCATACATACCCTTTCTCATGACTCCATACCCCTCCCCGTGTCCCCATCCCCACGTCCCATCCCTCTCCCTGTGTCCAATTACACCCCTTCCCCATGTCACCAACCCCACCCTGTGTCACTATACACCTCCTCCCCAAATCGCCATAAATACCCTCTCCTTGTACCCATACACCCTCTCCCCATCTCCCCATATACCCACACCAACGTTAACTCCATCCCTCTCCCCGTGACCCCAGCCCCTCCCCATGTCTCCATATACCCTCCCTGTGTCTCCATACACCCCTCCCTATGTCCCCATACACCCCCTGCTCATACCCCCATTAACCCACCCTAGCCTTAACCCCACCCCCTTCCCCGTGTCCCGAAATACCCCCCAACCATGTCCCCATCCCCCATCCAGTGTCCCTATGTCACCAAACACTCCCTCAGTGGTTTTGCCACTCAGTGACCAACCCTCTCAATTTCCCCACAGACCACCCCCATCCCATGTCTCCACGTTCCCTTTCCAGTGACCCCACAAGCGCTGGGAAGCCAACACCTGTGTCCCAGCCCTGCACATCTCAACGTTCTCAGTGTCTGTACACCCTGTGTCCTGTAATACCCACCATTTATTGCAACCATCCCTGCCCCAACATTGTCTCTATTCCCTCAGTGTCCCTGACCTCCCCCATCAATGTCTCACAAGTTCATCTGGCCTCACTGTAGAGTGTCACCCTCAGATTTGACTCCATTTCCCTCCCACTCTGTCTGTCTGTCTCCCTGTCTCTCTCTTTCTTTTGTCTGTCCGTCTGTCTCTTTCTCTCTCTTTTTCACTCCCTAGTCTCTCTCTAACTGTCTCTCTCACCTCTATCTCTCTCTCTCTCTGTCCTCTGTCGGTCTGCAACACCCCCTCCCCACCAACCACCTCGCTCCCCTCTCTCCCTGTCTCACCGGGCGAGATGAAGAAAGTCCTCTCGAGGTGTTTGTCAAATGTCCGCTCTCTGATCTCCTTCACCACATTGACCAAACGACCTGAAACTGGAGGAATTCTTCGGAAACCTAAAATTCTTCAAAAACATAAACACTGAAGATTAATCTTCCCTCAATGCTGTTCCTCAATAACCCTCCAACCTCCCTACATGCACATAGACATAGACACACAAGTAGAGTCATAGAGATATACAGCATGGAAACAGACCCTTCGGTCCATTTCGTCCATGCTGACCAGATATCTTACATAAATCTAGTCCCATTTGCCAGCATTAGGCCCATACCCCTCTAAACCCTTCCTATTCATATACCCATCCAGATGCCTTTTAAATGTTGTAATTGTACCAGCATCCACCACTTCCTCTGGCAACTCATTCCATACACGCACGACCCTCTGCGTGAAAAAGTTGCCCCTTAGATCCCTTTTAACTCTTTCCCCTCTCACCTTCAACTATGGCCTCTAGTTTTGGACTCCCCTACCTCGGGGAAAAGACTTTGGCTATGCAACTTATCCATGCCCCTCTTGATTTTATAAAACTCTACAAGGTTACCCCTCAGCCTCTGACGCTCCAGAGAAAATAGCCCCAACCTATTCAGCCTCTCCCTATAGCTCAAACCTTTCAGTCCCAGTAACATTCTTGTAAATTGTTTCTGAGCCCTTTCAAGTTTCACAACATCTTTTCTATAGCAGGGAGACCAGAATTGCATGCAGTATTCCAAAAGTGGCCTAATCAATGTCCTGTACAGCCGCAACATGACCTCCCAACTCCTATACTCAATGCACTGACCAATAACGACATGCATACCAAACGCCTTCTTCATTAGTGAGAGATAGTAGGAGGGTCTAGGCCCAAAACGTCAGCCTTCCTGCTCCTCTGATGCTGCTTGGCCTGCTGTGTTCATCCAGCTCTACATCTTGTTATCTCATCTTCTTCACTACCCTGTCGACGTGCAACTTCACTTTTGAGGAAATATGAACCTGCACTCCAAGGTCTCCTTGTTCAGCAACACTCTCCAGGACTAGACCGTTAAGTGTATTAGCCCTGCCCTGACTTGCCTTTCCAAAATGCCGCAACTCACATTTATCTAAATTAAACTCCATCTGCCACGCCTTGGTCCTTTGGCCCAACTGACCAAGATCCCATTGTACTCCCAGCTAACCTTCTTAGCTGTCCACTACACCTCCAATTTTGGTGTCACCTGCAAACTTACTAACCATAACTCCTACGTTCACATCCAAATCATTTATATAAATGATGTAAAGCAGTGGACCCTGCACTGATCCTTGTGGTCACAGTTCTCCAGTCTGAAAAGCAACTCTCCACCACCACCCTCTGTATTGTACCTTTGAGCCAGTTCTATGGAGAAGGATATGGATGATAGAGAACATGGGGAAGTAAACAGCGACATCTTGAAAAGTGTCCATATTACAGAGGAGGAGATGCTGGACGGCTTAACACACGCAAAGGTGGATAAATCCCTGGGACCTGATCATGTGTACTCTAGAACTCTATGGGAAGCTAGGGAAGTAATTGCTGGGCCTCTTGCTGAAATATTTTTACCATCGATAGCCGCAGGTGAGGTGCCAGAAGACTGGAAGTTAGCTAATGTGGTGCCGCTATTTAAGAAAGGTGGTAAGGAAAAGCCAGGGGACTATAGACCGGTGAGCCTGACATTGGTGGTGGGCAAGTTGTTGGAGCAAATCCTGAGGGACAGGATTTGCATGCATTTGGAAAGGCAAGGACTTATTAGGGATAGTCAGCATGGCTTTGTGCACGGGAAATTGTGTCTCACGAACTTGATTGAGTTTTGTGAAGAAGTAACAAAGAGGATTGATAAGGGCAGAGCAGTGGACATGATCTATTTGGACTTCAGTGAGGTGTTTGACAAGGTTCCTCATGGTGGATTGGTTAGCAAGGTTAGATCACATGGAATACAGGGAGAACTAGTCACTTCCCTAGCTTTCCATAGAGTTCTAGAGTATACATGATCCGGTCCCAGGGATTTACCAACCTTTACGTGCGTTAAGCCGTCCAGCATCTCCTCCTCTGTAATATGGACACTTTTCAAGATGTCACTATTTACTTCCCCATGTTCTCTATCATCCATATCCTTCTCCACAGTGACACTGATGCAAAATACTTGTTTAGTATCCCACCCATCTCCTGCGGTTCCACACATAAGCGGTCTGGTTGATCTTTAGAGGGCCCTATTCTCTCCCTAGTTGCTCTTTGGTCCTTCATATACACACGGAGTGCGTGTGTGTGTGTCACACACACACACGCACTCCCCTCTCCCAGACACGCACGCATGCACGCGCACGCACGCACACACACACACACACACACATACACACGCGTGCACACACACACACGCAC